AATCCAAAAAGATGCGCTAATTGGGTAGAGTAAATTGTCCGTAGTGTAAGTGAGTGTGTATGTATATTACCCAGTGATGGGTTGCAGCTGGAAGGGCATCCGCTGCGTAAAACATATGCTGGATAAGTTGGTGGTTCATTCCGCTGTGGCGACCCCAGATTAATAAAGGGACTAAGCCAAAAAAATGAACAAATGAATGTTTAACTCTAGGGGACTTATAAAACGAGCCTATTTACAAAAATAAATAAATAAATAAAATTGTGGTGTTTCTTTAAAGCTTTCAAAATGCTAAAATGTGCACATGAAAGCAAGGATTTAAAAATATAAAACATCCAAAAGCATTGTTTTAGGTTAACTTTACCGATGAAGCTGGATGTCTCTTGCAGAATGTTGAAATTTAGACTTTTCTTTGTTTCTGTGTCCCCGAAGGCTCCATCTTCCCATCCCACAGACCCCCCGATGCTGTTTTCAAAATCACATTCTGGCTCGGCTACTTCAACAGCTGCCTGAACCCCATCATCTACCCATGCTTCAGCCAGGAGTTTAAGAAAGCCTTCCAGAACGTTCTGCATGGACGCTGCCTGAGCCGAACACATCAGACTTGGAGCCCTCCAGCCAATGCGACTCAGTATATGCCCAAATCTCCACAGGGTTTATCATCTGGATTTACTGACTCCTGGAGGTCTGATCATGCATCATCGAGTGCTGTAATGCTGAATGAAAACTCATATGATGAACCTGACACATCTCTGAGTCTCAAGGTTCATCAGGTTTCCATATGTAAGATAGATGGTGAGCCTGTGTGAAATGATTTTTGACTTTGTGAATCTCAAATCGTTTACTGTGAAGTGAAATATGGGAAAAATAAGGATCTCGTTGGAGCTGGCGTACAGGAGCGCCACCTTGTGGGAGTATCTTGAATGTGGATCTGCATTATTTTGAGGTTTCTCCTAAATATTTCTGTTTTAAGATATTTAAACTGATTTTTTTTCAAGAATAAATATTAAACGGCCAAATGTACTGTATTAATACGAAATTATTAAAAAAATACATAGGTGATTAGTCTGTAGTTATTTGTATGTTACATTTGATACATTTGTTTTACTCTAAAAAAGTCTGAAATAATTTCTTCCAAATAGCAAAGAAAAAAATTGTGTCCTTTATTTGAAACACACCTGGCACCATTGTTAAGTTATAAAAACAAAATAAATATCTTCTTTTTTTATTTTAGGTTTTTTTTTTTTTTTTTTTTTGAAGAATCCAGAGAAACTGAAGTGATATTGTTTTTGTAACTGATATTATATTATAAATTTATCAAAATGCAACACCATTTGGATACCATGTGGGAATATTGCTATTAAAAAAAGGGTTAGTTCAGCCAAAAATAAAAATTTGCCCATGGTTTACTCACCCTTAAGATGTCCCAGGTGTATATGACTCCCTATTCAGCAATAACGTTAATTGCATTGGCATATTTATCTGACGTTTTCTCAGCTTGTAGTAGTAGATTAAAAAGCTATTTAATTTCTTATGACTATATGTACACTAACATTGGAATTTACTGCAATGTGACGAGGTGCCACCTGAAATCTTGCCTAGGGCGCCAAATTGGTAAGGGCTGGGCCTGCATTCATCCATAAAAAAGTGCCTCACATGATTAATAAAGTCAATGCATTTTTGTAAGAAAAAATATCCCTATTTAAAATTAACAGGGTTTTCTGCAGGTTTCACCAAGTCAAATTTAAGACTTTTTAAGACATTTTTTAAGACCATTATGAACACTAAGGAATTATTATTATTATTATTATTTTAATGGCCCAGTTGGAAAAGATTTTTATTTGTCCTATCAAATGCCCTATTAAATAAAATAAAATAAAAATAATTAAAAAAAAACTATAATAAACTAAATGTATCCACAACAGTCTGTCCAGGTAAGCTTCCTCAGCAGTAAATACATGGAGAATTTATTGAAGGAAAGTGTTATTGGAGGAAATAATTATACCAATAAATGGAGTTTGAGGATTGTTGGTGATTTGATGGGTGTTGGCCAGATTTGGTAGCTAGAACAAAGGTAAATTTCCTGTTTAAAAAGACCTGTTTAAAAAAAAAAGACCTACAAAACTATATTTCCGTAAATTTAAGACTTTTTAAGGTATAAATTAGTTTTTGCGATTTAAGACTTTTTAAGACCCCGTGGATACCCTGATTAATGATGGGCTAGGTTTCATCATTGAGGGAACTACCCTTTAAGAGGGTTTAAAACCATTTTAAAGTTAAATGCATTTTTGTACAATTTAACGTTAAAATTGTTCATTTTAAAATTAAATAACGAACACAAAGATATAATTAAAACAATTCTTTAAATTGTTCATGTAGGTCATTATGATGTTCTCTCTGTCTTTTGTTGTTTAGCTTTGGCATAAAGCAGCAGCTATATTAGACTACTGTCCTTTTAGGACTGAATGCACGGATCCAATATACTGATGCACATTCATTTCATCCAGTATACATTCACTTAAGACATGTTTAGAAGGATACTTGTCAAGACGGGTACATTATTTGACATATTTATCTATTCAGTTGTGTGCTTATAAATATATATATATATATATATATATATATATATATATATATATATATATATATATATATATATATATATATATATATATTTACACTTGTCCTCTGTCATATTAATGATAACTGACTAATAAAAGTATAAGTGATTCATTTGGCTATTCCTGCTTCTGCTGGTTTCCAGATGCATCATAAATAGTTCTATACTGTACTACGTACATGTGCAAACTGCTATAATTCGAGGTCAAAGAGAAGAAAAGATTCATTTTTCCCTTTTATTAATTTTCTTCTTTTTTTTCTGGAAACATCACTATCCAAGAGATTTGACACTTTTCAAAGCAAGCGAACATCCTCAAACAGCACAGCCAACAGAATCAACACTACAGGTTCACTTGAGGAGCGGGATTATAAATCACTGAACAACCTTTCAGCTCGCATCCGCATTTTACAGAGATTACATACCACGCATAGAAGAACATTCAAGCGTACATAGCAAAGTGTGTGTGTTTGTGTGTGTGTGAGCGTGTATGTGTGTGCCAACAGCTGCTCTGGGATCAGAGGAAATGCTTAAGGCATATTTAAACTCTTGCATATGCTCATATGATAAGAAAAAGCCCAGGGAAACTCACATTGGACAATTCTGTTCTCAATTTATGCCATATTTCCACACCAATCTCAATGGAAAAAAAAGTCTCAAATAAGAATTAATTATTGAATGTCGAAAACAAATTTGTTATAAATACAAAAAATGAAAAAAAGATTGTTTTGATTAGTCTAAATAAACTTGAATAAAATTTTTTTATATCACTTGCAAGATGTAAAAACAAACATCTAAGCCTATTCCTTTTAAATGTATATATTAAGCCTATCTATCTTCCAGGGGTTCATAGAGCTCTATATCCATGCTGGTCAACCAGCTACCCGCCAATCAACAGGTATAATTTCTTGTTTTTTCGGCAGGTAAAAGTTAACAATTGTATATAAAACCATCTCTCCAGTTGTGAGAAAAGGGCGCGCATACAAAAAAGAAATAAACAAAAGGAAAAAAAGCAGGAACCAGACGACGACGTGTCTTGTTTGGAAGGTACTGTACGTATGGTTTCTGTTACACTGACTGTAATCATAATGAGTTGAAAGAATCCAGCCATTGGATGTTGTTTAGCACCAGGCCCAGAAGTGTTGCTATAGGGACGTGCTTCCGATGTGTTGCCGGTTGTTAAGCAGTCTTCATAGTGACAGTGGTAAAGTAATGAGGTCAGCAAGGAAAAAAGAAAACAATCATAACACTCATGAGGCGATAACTAAACGTACTGAACACAAGTATGAATCATAAATGATAACCCCATTCCAGCACAAGACAGACAGGGAATAACGTATGTTTGTGTTTCTCACAGAAACTTGGAGTTCACTCACAAACTTCATAATAGAGGAGGGAGGAAGCACTATTTCAATGTACCTCCGAACTCATTTCATAATAGTTTCTCAGAGGAATGCAAAAGTTTTGAGTGAATAAAAGCACAGATGTTATCTCCACTGTTTATTTAGGGGCTCTATTTTTTCTCACTTTGGAGCTACTGATCGTGTGACTGTAAGTAGACACGTGCACACACACATACACACAAAAACTAAGTACTCAGTATGCGAGGGTAAACCCTGTGAGCACTAGAATGAATCTGCACTTGTGTGTGTTTCTGTGTTGAGTCACAGAGGAAAAGGCAAGCAATGGAGAATAATGATACAGGCCAAGATTTGGCAATGTGTAAGAGGGAAAAGAAAACAGCTGGAGGATGGGTTTATGAAATGAAAAACAGACTATTAAAAAAAAAAAAAACAGTTCAGCCATCGCTAATCCATGCTGAGATTTAGGCAAGGCACATTACACCCATTTAAAGCCTTGTATCACCACTTTTTATTTCCTATTATGCCTTCTTTTGTCTGGGCTGAACGAGGTATAGCACCATCCACAAAGAGTTTTGTGGGATTTAGTCATTCTATTAGCTTTTACGCTAATCTACATGTTGAGAGTAAAATATTAAACAGTAGAAAACACATTTAGAATTTTCTTAAGGGAAAACAAACCAAAGTATTGATGACTCATTTTGCTCTACACAGCTTTTTGTCCAATCAAATGCTGTCTGCTATGTCCCTCCCTCAATGCTAAGTGCAACCAGCTAGCATTATCAAATACCACACTATTATTAATGGCTGTGATGTACCTAAACGTATGTTTTTTTTAATGCAGAGACAATCCCTTCAATGTGTCCAATAAAAACATCAAAAACCAGGAAAAGCTGAGAATATGTTAGCTAAATTAGCTAACCTAGCTGCTCAGTTCAATGCCCTTTGCATTTAAAGCCTGTTTAGCAAGTTTTCTGCCCAACTTGGGTGGAAAACAAATAAAAAAGCAGAAATAAACACCAAAACATGGAGCTGCCATAAGAGCAGTTGTTGAAAGTCACCGTTAACTTACTCTCTTTTATTTTTTGACACTTTCATAACATAATGTAGCATTTTACTATGGCACTAAAATGGATGTCAACATTAAGAACTGCGCTGCGTTAACTCACACTCAGAAAGCCTGTCAAAAGCACGATGACAAGTTAAGAGGAAAATCTGGCACCTTTGTATCGGTTTACCGGCTATTTAACATTGAACAGCCTTTCAATTGTTTCAAACGAAAAACATGAATAAGCTCATGTTGGAGCGAGCAGCACATCTCAGGCACAGCTTGGAGTTACAAAGATACAAAAAAAGATACATTAGCACATCGGTTGACATAGAAAGTAGCGGCATAGTTTCTTGTAAATCCTCACAACTCACATGACATACTCGTACTGCGCTCCAACCGAATCTACACAAACATCCATCTTGGGGTTGTTTAGCTCTTAAGTATATGTCAGTTAATAAGTACTGTATATGCGCACAGTTGAATACATAGCCTTTCAAAGTATACACATAGGCTATATGTACACTAGACACATTCATTCCTTTCCAGTTTTCCTGTTTAATTTTGCTTGACAATTTCAGAGATAACATTTGGATGTGCTAGATATTTTCACTGTTTTTAGTTTTACAAAATGTGGTGGCAAGTTAGCCTCTAAAGCTATAGGCTAACTAACCATAAGCAAACCATATTTTACCTCAGGTTCTCTTTGGAGGGTTGACAGCCCATATTGTCTTCTTCCATTAAGCCAGGAACATGTTCACTGTCATGTTTTTATTCTTTTTTGCACTTTCTTTTAGGACAACAAAGCCAGAACTAGGTTTCAGGAAGTCAGTCGCTAGTTCAATCACTGTTTAGGAAGCAATCTGACGCATCAAGATTTTTAGGATTGAATCATAACAGATTTGTTAGAAAATATGTGTAGTCTGAACATCGGTGTCTTGCTTTTCAAGTTTTGTTGTTAATGTTTTGTCCTCATTTCTTTTTCTAAAGTAAAATAACAGCCTGTTTTTGTGTTGACACCCTGTCTACAAACTAAGTAGTGCAATGACAGCTCAAAGTATGTGCAGTAGCGTACAGTAAAATGCGGCAGGGGCCCCGATCTAAAACCGAAGAGTGTGTGTGTGTGTGGGGGGGGGGGGGGGGGGGGGGTGTTATGCTCATCACAGGACTTTTAGAAACACAACCACTGTTCCAATGATGGAATCATCATCCTGGCCATCATCATACGCACTATATACAGACCAGGGGTGGCACTGGGGGAGGGGTGGCATTTGGACGATTTTTAGGGCCCATGCCGTTTTAAGGGCCCCAGAGTTACTATTAGGGGCTCCCCAATTAACCAACACCACCCCAGCCTGCTCTTCATTTACAACTGCGAGATGTCGCCACAACCCACTCTATCTCGGTCTTTACTTTCATTTCGTCTTTGATGCCCCCTTCCCCCTTTCCATGACAACATCAGCAGCATCCTGATACAGACCGTCGTGTACGGTGACAATCTGAAGTATATAGGAAAGTAACGGCATACAACATAGATAAAGCTAGCTTTATGCATTACTTAAATGAGTAGTATAAATGGGATTCAGACACACTACGTCATGGCCAATTACAGTCAGTTGTGTTGCTTTAAGCCTCATTCTAACTACGAGCGACTCACTGTGACAAAGTGACAAGCAATCGTTCATTTCAATGGACAGTGAGTGAGTGACTTCCGGCGACCTCTGCCTAAGCGAGCAACAGTGACCGTTGGCAGTCAGGTGGGTGTGGCAAGCGACACAACAAAGTTGAGAATCCTTCAACTTTATGCAAATAAAGAACGACTTTCTTGAGCGTCAGCCAATAGTAGCACTAGTAGAGCCCACATGATCCTCTCTTAGCTTGGTGAGAGTCCGGTTGTATTCGTGCTGTATAGACTTACACAGACCTGCATTTACAGCATGTCACCACCCAGAGCAACAGGCAGCTACAAAGTCGCTGCTAGTGTGAATGAGGGGTCACTCCCATATCTCTTCTGAAGTTGTAGGACATCCTGGCACTTCTCACCTACAGTTTTTCGAATACCATGAATTCAGACAAACTATTCCGGTCACATTGTGTTTTTCAAATAGTATATAGTAGAGACGGATGTAATTTTGGATGCTCTGCATGTGTGCAGGACTAACAAAAGCTGTATTAAATAAAAACAAAAATGTTTTTGCTCATATCTTTTGGAGCAAATATGTAGACACTGGAAATGAATGAATCGTTCTAGTACACATATGTCTGGTTATGCTTTTACATGGAGCATACTTTGCAAGATTATGTATCCAGCTTTTTTGTGTCAAAACTTACATACTTTTGGCTTTAGTTTGGTAGTAAAAATGAAACTAGTTCCACAGCGTCACAAACAAGCTGTTCTTTAAAAGTGACTTTAAACCAATAAGTAATTCTACATTGCGTCTTCTTTAGCTAGCACCTCCTAAAATCCTTTTATTAACAGCTCACCGTTTCTTCACAGCCAAACAAAACCTTGACATTCTCATATTCCTAACCTTTAAGAAAGCAGCGCGATCCAAAAAAAGAGTTTGAAGCCAAAAAAAGGATGTTTTTTCAGCTAGAATGACTTGCGCTCTTCTCATTTTCTCCAACATTGCTAAGCTGCTTGTTTTTACATGCGGTTTCTTCTTCAATAACATCAACAGGCTTAATTTAATATCTCTGGTTGTGAAACGACACATGGTTTTTAATTAGCGACCACTGGAAAAGCTTCCTTTTATTGACTGGTACAGAAATGATCGCACTGAATGCCAAGGAAAAGGGCACGGGTGGAATATAATCTAATGATGACACTGATGTAAACTGAGTACAAAGTGTATAAAAAAAATCAAATAAATTCCTAATTTAATCGACTTATAGCCACAAACAATGAAACAAGAAACTCAGTATGCTAAACCCTTGCTCTTGTTAATGAGTAAACAGCTTCTAGTACACACACTTGATCCCTCTGATTTCCAAAAAAACAAATAAAGTTAAATACAAAAAATAATAACATGACTCGTGGCGGGTAGAAGGTACAGTATAAAAATCATACAATCAGAAGTGCTCAAATGTGGATGGTGGATTTGTTTCCTTCTCTCTTCATATGAGGCGAATACTCTTTTTTTCTTGTCTAGATGTCTCCTTTAGGAAGTGGTGTAGGGTTGGGAAAGGGAAAACAATGGGAATGAGGGTAAGAGATCAGGGGTTAGGAGAGTAGAGAGTGCAGAATCATAGGCCCTGTGGAGGGTTCGGTTCGTGATTTGATGCGGTGGTTTGGGCAAACACCTTCGTTTATTGACACCTCTCTCCCCCAACGCCCTGCCCTCCTGTGGGATGGAGGACTAGTTTAGCCCAGGCTGGTGATGTTGGCTCTGCCACCAGGGGGTGCCACAATGCGTTGGGTGTTGCGGCGAGGGATGTTGTCATCAACTTGAGCACCTGAAATTATATAAATTTTTTAAAAATTGCACAAATGGTCATGTCCAAAAGTACGCAGGTATTTAAAAAATCTGAGATTTTCACGCTTTAATAATAAAAAAAAAACTTCCACATGACAACGCAAAAACACACTCTGATGTAGGGATGGGCGATTAATCGAAAAATAATCAAAATCAATATTCAGAACCTATTATTAATCAATTTTTTTCTGTTCAATTTTTTCAATTACTTTCCCTACCGCGTGCGGAATCACGTGACCCTGCTCTGTTTACACTTTCGTTGAGGGCAGCGTAAGCTCTAATGCAGCCTTCACTGTGACTGATGCCGATGCTGACCTCTCAAAAAATTTACTACACATTACGACAAAGCATAACGCAAGCTCTGTGATTAGTCAGCTTGATAGTGTTGACGAGTGTAGGTGGCGCGGAAAGAAAATAAATAAATAAATAAATGAATAAATAAATAAATAAATAAAAGAGTTGTTCATGAATCTTAATCGAGTTAAAATGTTCAATTAATCAAGAATTTCATTTTTGGCCAAATCAAATGGGGAATGAAGTATTTTTGTGAGTACATTGCAAATGTGAGAACAGAGGTGGATTAGCGTCCCATGGTCGAACAATGTGGAATATGTTTTTTGAACGTAAAAAATTTGCCTCATTCACGTCTTCGCATTTAGTGTGAACCCATCCTTCTTGGCCAACCAGAAAAGAGAAAATAGCGTGTACGCTGACATGAGGCAAAAACCCCGGCTGAATTGTCCATAGAACCACACTGTACCCAGAGTTCCGAAAAATCTTTACCCTAAAGTCAAAAGTTTTTGTTTCAGCCACCTGATACTCCTTTTTCATGAGGACAAACAGAGAAACCGCATAAAAAAATGTAAGTAGAAAGCCTAAAACGTAACAATGTTTTTTTTTATTTATTTTTTTTACTCTAACTGGAATTAGACTAAAATCACAAGATATAAAAATTTCAACTAATTTAAGCTATTGATAAAAAAAAAGCAATAGTTAGTGATACTAATATTAGACATTTTCAGTTGGTCACCATTGAACATTTCTCATTTTGATTTATTTATTATGATGACAATAAAATTATTACAAACTAAATACACAAACATAAACAAAGCAAAAGTAATTAAAGATAACAACAAATTATAAATACAACTAATATTAATACAACTAAATATCTTTAGAAATATCAAAACTGTTCAAACTATTGAAAATATATAACTGTGAAAATAACAATATTAGCTAAATGATAATAAATGAACAATGGTACAGATTAGCCAATAAATTAAATCAATTACAATAACAATTAAGCATTTAAATACATTAAATAATAAAAACTACAGTTGAAGTCATACTTATTAGCTCCCCTTTGAATTTTTTTCTTTTTTAAATATTTCGCAAATGATGTTTAACAGAGCAAGGAAATTTTCACAGAATGTCTGATAATATTTTTTCTTCTAAAGAAAGTCTTATTGGTTTTATTTCAGCTAGAATAAAAGCAGTTTTAAACTTTTTAAAACCATTTTAAGGTCAACATTATTAGCCCCTTTAAGCTATATTTTTTTGATTGTCTACAGAACAAACCATCGATATACAACAACTTGCCTAATTACCCTAACCTGCCTAGTTAACCTAATTAACCTAGTTAAGCCTTTAAATGTAATTTTAAGCTGTATAGAAGCGTCTTGAAAAACATCTAGTCAAATATTATTTACTGTCATCATGGCAAAGATAAAATAAGTCAGTTATTAGAAATGCGTTATTAAAATTATTACGCTTAGAAATGTGTTAAAAAAATCCGCTCTCTGTTAAACAGAAATTTGAGAAAAATAAACGGGGGGAATAATAATTCAGGGGGCCAATAATTCTGACTTCAACTGTATGTATTTTTATTATTGTATTTCGTCTAGCTGCCAAGCAAATATTTCTCATTTTCATGTAGTCTAACTTGATTTGCTACAATTAATACATAAAAAAATTACTAAAACACAGAAAACATGACTTAAAATAAAAAAAAAACACGGAAAATGTTAAAACATTAATACATTCTCTAAAACAAAATAAAAACTTATTGTAACTTAAAACAAGTACAGAAAAGCTACTACAATAAAATCCTTGATTAATAGGTTCTTTAACGAATGTAGCATAAAAATATGTCAGTTTAAAATGAATAACAACTTAAAGAATGAATTTCTCTAATACCAGATAGCAAGGAATGTTGTTCAATTGGATAAATTATCTTTATTGACTTGCGTAATGTGTGTTGTTGTGAAGTGCTCACTCACCAGAGAGGCTGAAGCCGGACTGGTGCAGGTTGCGGACGGGTTGCCCGGGCTGCTTGGCAGGAGAGGTTTTAGCAGAGGAAGCAGGCGTCACAGCTTTGGGCGTCACTGACACTTCACAGACCGGCCCGTCGTACAGACCCCGCGGGACGCCCCGCAGTTCAGCAAGCTAAAACACCACAGTGCAACAACTTATATTTTCAGTAATCTATTTAATTATAATATTGAAATTGTGAATGTAATCATAAAAATAAATGCTACTATTACTAATGATTATTTCAATAGAAAGTATATATATATATATATATATATATATATATATATATATATATATATATACACTTTATATATAACATTCTATTTAATTATTATTTATAAATTATAATACATTATACTTTGAATAAAAATGCTAATGACAACAATAAAAAATCTTTTGTATTGTACGATTGAAAGTAAATGTAAATATTGTAAGATTTTTGAAATGTAAACATGTAAATATATTAATAAACAATAATAAGTCAAAAACAGCATTTACAGAATAAACAGCATAAATTTTTGTTATGGATACATTCATTCATTTTCTTGTCGGCTTAGTCCCGGAATGAATCGCCAACTTATCCAGCAAGTGTTTACGCAGCGGATGCCCTTCCAGCCGCAACCCATCTCTGGGAAATGTTATGGATACATATTTAGTTTATTGATTAATGTGTGTAACTCACCCTGCTGCGGGCCTTTATCCTCTTGTAAACGTAGTCAGGGAAGGGTTTGCGGGATATGAAGCGTCCGGACCCTTCAGTGGTGTGCAGGGTTCCTTCCTCCAGCACAATCTTGCCCTGACTGATGACCACCAGGGGCACTCCACGCACCTCCATACCCTCGAAAATGTTGTACTCCACTGCCTGCAAAACAACAAACAGACCGTCATGCAGTGACATCACTTTTCACAGCCTCCCAAGGCTGATTGTTGTTTAAATCAATGATCAAGTAATCGATTAATCAGTTATCGATAAATGATGGTTCAGTGTCTCATTGGCAGGATGTGCAAATGACACTCCAAAAAAAAACCCTCCCTACACAAATCAAGGCATTTTTACTGTAAATATTAAACGCTAGTAGGATTGTGGAAAGAATCATTTAATAGAAGCATTTAATGGGTAAATGTAATGACAAGTATACAAAATATCAAAAGCGCCTCTCGGGTATAAATACGATCAGCCGGTACATGTGTGCGTCCATTGCTGCATCCAAACACTTTTGCCAGTGAATTAGGGTAATTAGCATGCTTAGAACAGCTTGGACTATTTGGAACAGTACTTTGGGTTTTCCCATTGACTTTGACAGTTTGCAAAGGGTATGAATAATTTTGGACATGTCACTTTTTGTTCAAATGTAAATAAAAGCTGAGAAATATATATATGTTTTCCCACAAAGATGCCTCTTGTACATCATCTTTTGGGATAAGCCTGTGTCATTTCCACTCAAAAAAAGAAAAAAAAATTGTAAATAAAAAAGCTTGTAAATAAAAGTATCTTAAAGTCAGAATTTGCCAATAATTTCGGGTCTGAATCTAGCATCAGCTTACAGAATAAGAACATTATTTTCTGAACGTTTAACTTGTTGATGCTAATGAGGTCAGAAATCATTTCACAAACACTGCTGTTCTTCTGGAGGTTCAGAAATGCAGTAGAGCGAAAGCAAGGCATGTTGTAAATGAAAGGGAGGGAAAGAGGGAGGAAGTATATAACGGTTTACAGGATGTGTGTGTGTGAGTGTGTGTATGTTGGCTAAAGTGTGACCACCCTTCTAAATGCTACTGGCGGTTTCCTAAAAGCAATACAGAGTGTCCCACAAGACCTAAAATCAGCATGAGGCTATTCACTGACTCTGATAAACCATGCACACACATATTCCATTAATGCAGGGGTGCCCAAACTCTGTCCTGGAGGGCCGGTGTCCTGCATATTTTAGTTCCAACCCCAATTAAACACACCTGAACAAGCTAATCAAGCTCTATCTAGGTATACTAAAACTTCCAGGCAAGTGTTTTAAAGGAAGTTAGAGCTAAACTATGCAGGACACCGGCCCTGCAGGACTGAGTTTGGACACCCCTGCATTAATGCATCTTTGCTGATTAAATGTAAGATATTCTTTAAACTTTTACAAACCTATACTTTTAAAAAAGCAGTTTCAGCTTTTTTTTTTATTTCAGCAAATAACTACTTTTAATAAATATATTCTGTTTTCTCAATTGGGGACATTTTTTCCCTGATTCTACTATAATTTTACAATTTAAATAAAACATTAATCTAAAATATGATTATATTTAGGGCGACACGGTGGCTCATAATGTATCTGTGTGAATGGGTGTGTACGTATGTTGCCCAGTACTGGGTTGCAGCTGGAAAGGTATCCGCTGTGTAAAACATATGCTGAATAAGTTGGTGGCTCATTCTGCTGTGGCCACCCCAAGTGAATAAAGAGACTAAGCCTAAGGAAAATGAATGAATGAATGGATATATTTTAAAAGTAATCATTACACAGCAAACCTATCAAAATTAAACTACTGTACACCTATTATACCTATAATGCATTGTTTAGGGGGAAAAAAGATCATTTTATATTCATAGAAAGTGTATTAAATGCAAGTAAAGTGTTCACTTGTAATGTTTCAAAAACATTTTATAAAAATAAAATATTAAAATATGGGCGATTTAAAGTTGGATCTTCATTCAGTGTAATACATACTTATGTAAAAATTAAACAACACTGTCAAAAAACTGACATATTTGAGAAAAACCTAGTGGCTCGAAGCATAATATTAGTACTCATATTTTTGGTCTACAGTGCAACATTTAAATAGAATCTTTAATAAGTCATAATATTATTATAGTTCTACTAGGCATGGGCTGGTATACTGTATGATTCTGATGGTTTGATAACCTTGGATAAACATATCACGGTTTCACGGTATTGTGATCACTGCTCTAAACCATATTCATTTTTAATGTCTGACTAAAAAACTAAACTTTTTCCCATTTGAACACAACATATTTCATTTTAATAAACATTTTAAATATTTTGGAGCAGTAGCTAAACATGCCAGGCATAATCATTCAAATGTATCATTGCTATCTTCATTAATTACAACAACACAGATGTTTTACATGTTAAAACAGTATCTTTGGATATCTTTTCTGCTGGAGATACTGTTGTTCTAAAAAACAAACAAACAAACAAAAACCTAATAAAAAAATCATACATATAACGCAGGAACGGTATAACAGAAAGTTTTAGTGGTTTTAAAACTTTGACTTTTCCAAACTGCGGTATACCTTGAACAGTTATTATCCCATGCCTAAGTTCTATATATGCCTGACAAGACAATGCCTGCCTATAAAGCCCTTTTCATATTTGACCAACACACTAACGTATTAATATTTACATTATACTAACACACTATTTATGATTTATCTTTAATATATAATATTTATCCTAGTTTTACTAATAACATCAATCTAGGTTTTAAGATGTTTAGATCTAGAATAAACATAATATCCACTAGACAAAACAGCACAACCCTGGAGAGCCAACATTCTCTTAGCCCACAAACATAAACGTAAGACATTAAAATAAGATCCTGATGCCGATGTGTTTCTGTTCCTCCTCCAAACCAGGAGGGAGACATCAATTACCCAGCAGAGCTGAGAATGACATCACCGCATGAGTAAGCCCACACCCAACATTTGGTCAACATAACCAGTGTTCACTGGTCAAACCACTGCTACACTACACTGACAGAAGTACGTTTCACCACAACACTTAAACACAATCAATAATGTGGAGCAGGGAATCATGCACTGCAGAGACCAAAGTACCTCCAAGTATCTCTATTTAATAGCACATTTTTAGGCTGGTGAAAAATGGCAGTTCTCTTCTTTACATGAATGGTTGAGGGCAACTGAGAGAGCTTTACTTTTCTAACTGTTGTGAAGTAAATTCCAGAACCAAATGTAGTACCTACTTGAATAGCGTGCAATCCTGGCTGCAGCGATGGTGTTTTTTTGGTGTTTTCTTGGTAAAGAAAGCAGCTCTGCACTCATAAACACTACTTTAATATATATCATTAAGAGGTCAAATGTTTTCTAAAGTAGTTCACACTGCACAATCTTTTCGCTTGCTGACAGGCAATCATTGACAAATTATTAGGAATCCCAGAATCAGATACAATAGAGAATCTGTGGCCAATGCCTGACATGCTAAATATCAGGACCTGTCAGCAAAACAAAATCATGTTATATCAAAGTGTCCTGACAGAAAAACACATCGGCGATGACCTACAGCCAATCAGAAAGCAGAGTTCGGGGAGGAGTTACAGACTACATCCAAATAAATAAGTAGTATTAAAAAGAAAACAGGCAGAAACATTAGCCGCAGCAACCACTACTGGTACAGGAGCCAATCAGCCATCGGTATAAACTGATTTTTCTCCGAGAGAAGAAGCTCAGACCAGACGTGTGCTTTTATGACAGTTTTTTTGGTCAACAAACAAACTGGAATCTGAGTGAATACTAGCTTTACAGACATAAGAAGTATATCCACATAAAGCTGGAAATTTCTAATTTTAAATGAACCAACTACACTTGAAAACTAAAGGGTTTTGGTTTTGTTATCTCTATGAAACTAACGCGAGGTACAGTCCGTCCTGTCAAACACACATCACATGACAGAAACTACTCAAACCCCCACAAACTCATAAATAAGAGTCGCTGTCAATTCTGAAGGAGATTCGTCATCAAGAACAAGTTGTGAGTAACTTCAGAGGAGCTGCGCGATCAGAAGATCATTATCCAGAGGATGATAATGTGTAACACGGCATAAATGAGGTTAGTGTCGTGATCTCGTTCCTTTCTAGTGGGCATTAGCTCGGGCAACCTGAAAACATGCTGATTTTTTATTTTTTTTGAACATTTAGACTTGAAACTTATTCTGCTGTTATGTGATTGGTTCGTTCTTTTTCCTATTTTTTTGCTTTCTTTTTCTTAATAGGTGAATCATTAAACAGATGCAGCTATTCTTATGGCATATTTAATGAGCTAGTAAGATGCATTCGAGAGACTTTCACTTTCTCCAGAGAACTCATGATAACAACGTGAGCGTGATTATTGAAGTGCTTCTGACATCAAAACGCGAGAGTGAATCGCGAAAAAAACAGAGCAAATGATTGTTTCAGTAACCCAAACCATGATCAAACTGCCATGTTTAACTATTATCCTCACCTTTTGGACTACTATGAACTCGGAATGATGGAATTACTTTCTAACAAGAGGCTACATGTGCTGGTGAAGGTTAAAAACATAAATGAGAGGTTTGCACTGACTGTGAGCTTTATGTTGCGTGTTGTTTTTGAAGCCAAATAAGGACTAAATGTCTGCTGTGTGTAGTTTTTCTGTAATTGGTAACATATCGGAGACTGTAAGGGTCTTTATGTGGTCATATATGTTGCATTTATTTATTTATTTTATATAATTACAGACGTTACAGTAAGCTGTTTCGCACTGTCATTGATCTGCAGTTATAATCAAATTATGTCCATAGAAAGGTTAGTAATGAACATTTATACACAAGTATCTATGTGTATAAAGCATCTGTTTTGTTATGATATGTGAACGACCCGTACAGCTTTACTTTGGGCAAGATTTTCTTGAGCGAGAATAACATTGACTGAAACTTTCTGTCATACACCACACCCACCAAAAGGGTACCATTGACAGTAAAAACTCAAACCTGATAAACGTGACCCGTACCGTACTGTACCACTATTAGAGTCTATTAGACTATTAGAGTCTATTAGACTATTAGAGTCCATTAAAGGGACTTTGGTTTTGAGTTGATTTGTGTTGTGTATTCTTCTGTCACTAATCCATAGCGCAGTGTTAACACAGCAGCAACTGAACGCTGTCATTGTATAACGATGGATTGCTCTGTAGACAATCGAAAAAAAAATATTGCTTCAGGAGACTAATAATATTTTAATAATGTTTTAAATAGCCAATATAAAACAAATATCTCCAGAAGAAAAAATATTACAGCAAATCCTGTGATAAATTACTCGGTTAAACATAATTTGGCAAATATTTGAAAAAGAAAACAAATTCACAGGAGGGCTAATGGAGGCACTTCAACTACACATATTCTGATACATGTTGACTTTAAACACATGTAATAGCAGGACTCACCAGATTGTGGCTCTTGGCTGAGATGATCTTCGTAACATCAGGGTCCCACAGAACAAGATCGGCATCTGAGCCCACAGCAATGCGGCCCTTGCGCGGATACAGGTTGAAGATCTTAGCAGCATTGGTGCTGGTGACAGCCACAAACTGATTTTCATCCATTTTTCCTGTTACCTACAGGCGACAGGGACCACAGGGAGAGATGACAGTTGGTCTCGATTGTGTTTGTGTCCACTGGAGTGTGCCTGTCTGTTCGGCTGCAACTATTTAGACTCTCATGACTACTGACTAATTGTGTTTATGCGACTAAAGGAGGAGTAGATGGTGTGCTGTGGCAGTTTGTGATTAAATGTCAGCCCTTATTGTTTGCAGGTTAGCATTTGTGTCTTACCACACATTTGTCCCAGATGATGGACATCCTTTCCTCTGTGCCATTGGTGCCCTCTGGGATGAGGGTGAAGTCATCTTTACCAACAGCTCTCTGGGATGTGTTAAAGGTGCAGTGAGCACTTCCTGTTACCTGCAGATCCCCACTGTGAGAAAACAAATATCATTATAGGACAACATGAAAGATGTACATTAACTACTTGGTACAAAAATGTACACTAAACCTAACTCTAAATGAACTCTAAATGAACTAAAACAGGCCTTTTTGTTTAAACTTATTATATTACTGACGTAGTAGGGCACCTACCTACCCCTTTTTTAAGATTTAATATAAGTCTTTTGTGACTCCAGAATGTGTCTGTAAAGTTTCAGCTGAAAACACCCATCAGATTATTTATTGTACCTGTTAATATTGGATTTTCTCCTCTGAACCCAATGTAACTGTTTTTGTTGCCTGTGCCTTTAATGCTAGTTCTACCTGCCCACCGTTCCCACATGACTGTTAGAGTGTGCCTCAATCTCTTCCTCAGCTGCATCAGATAAACAGCACAGTGACAGACATGACCAAAGAAGAAGATCTCATGTAACATGTCTAAAGATGTTGTGTGTATTTGTTTTGGAGATAACTCAAGCCTTTATGCAACGATGAGTGATTCAGAATGTTGTTACAAAGTTAACACACACACAGCGCATTTTTGCATGGCAAATGTGATAGAATAGACATGAATTTCATCTGCTATATGAATATCCGTAATGTTAATGTACAAAATAAACCAGATTTAAAGTCTACAACCTGGGATTGAAGCATCTCCTTTTATAATTGTACTGACATGCAGCTTTGGTGATAAAATAAAATTGCTGTAATTCATTACAAACAAGCACTGTTTTAAAAACGCTTTAAACTTATGAAATTCAATCTTCGTCACATTTAATGGTGATTGATGATCACAGAGAGCTGAACAGATCTTTTATTCCCGGTTGCTTTGCGCAAGTCCTGCCTTGTTAATATGCTTATATGCGTTACAACAGAGACATGTTAATACGTGGCTGACAATCAAATCGGTGGGTGGGAACTGCACTACTACGCCATGTTGCAGTGAGCCTCAAAATGGGAGGGACTTGGATCATATTTTAACATCAGGAAATTTCAAAATAGAGACTTATTGTCTTCATATCACCCCGATATGACTGTGGACACACTATAACTAAACACAGTTCTATTCAAACAGCTTACAAAAGATGATTTTTATCATAGTTGCCTTTTAATATAAAATAAGTACTACTCTGGAGAATAAGAACTAATAAAATACTGCAAAATTCTTTGTGGTTGTTTTAAGAATAAAATGTAATAATAAAAATATTAAATAAAATTATTGTTTCAGAGGTGAAATCTGATCGTATTCCGGCACAAATTAAGCCCTGATAATAACTAATAAAATACTGTAGAATTCTGTAATAAAAATAATAATAATTGTTCAAATTATTATTCATACATTGTATTATTATTGTTTCCATTTTATTTCTTAAAATATATTAAATAAAGTATTTTTATTATTATTATTATTAAAATTATTGTTCTCATTATTTATAATGTTTTCCCTTCTTTGTATAATCTTTAAAAAACATAAAACAGTCGGTTCATTGATATTTCCTAATTAAAATTTTATTTAATAGTTGTGTTGAATGTATTTTATTTATAATAACAATAATTATTATTATTATATTTTGTTAAGAAAATAAATGATTTAAATCAATAACCATGTTTGTAATTCTTTTTAATGTATTATTATTTTTAAATGAATAAGAATAGTCTAATATTAGTAGAATGAGTGCTCTTACCAGGACAGCAGTGAGTTGAGATAGTCTGGTGTGGTGGGATCTGGACTCAAGGGTGGAGACGTGACGTAGGCGGCAGCCTTGGCCCAGTTCTTGCTCCAATAGTGTGATCCATCCGTGCCAATACTCGCTGTGATAGGCTCTCCATACACCACGGTGCCTAAATGGTTCAAAGATACCAAATTAGGAACAGCCTATGTAATTTCACTGTAATTCCCTTGCCTAATTCTAGAGCCTGACCACTATGATGTCATTTCAGGCCGTCCAGCCAAGAACAGCTGAGTCATAGCATGCTTTCCTTTTTTCTTTTTTTATTACTTTGCAGTGCATCCCGGCTCATAAAACCTGGCCTGCTTGTCCAGACTTTTAATATGTCCATTTAATGGTGTGGAGAGAGTAGCATTCGATG